TGTGAGAGACTGCCATCCACATAGTAATTTTTTACAACAGGGCTTTAAGAAAGCCACACACAAAGACCTGAAAGATGCTTGAGATATATATATATATAGATACATATATATGTATATATATAAAAAAAATACTCACTACCAAAGTTGTCATCAGTTTCATACTAAAGTATAAAAGTAAGGGTGAGGTCAGCCACAGTGCTAGGGAAAGTTTTATTTAGATACATTGATGTCCACATGAAACGCTTAGACTTGCATCCTATTACATATGGAATTCCGAGTTTACAACACACCATGAACGGCAGATTGGCTAGCCCACGCTACTCAAAGGACACTCACAGATTCCACACAGGATGGTACAGTATGTACAGAATACAGTAGCAGAGAGCCTTCTGGAAGGCTCTGGAAACTTTTGTCTCTCAGTCTCCATCCCCCGCCCCCCTGCGTGCCCCTGCCTCCTAGAAACAAACTCCTATCCGAGACAATACATTCTGATTATTTGATAGCCAAGTGTTTGGATTCAGGTTGCTTCCCCAGAGGGGTGGGTTTTTATGTTTATATTTTTGTTTTAGTTTACTTACTTTTTTTTTTTTTTGGTTAAAAAAAAAAAAAGAAAGAAAACAAACATTACAGTATTAAAGTATTGCTTAACGTACAGCATCTCCTTGTGTAGTGTCTGTGCTCAGGACTGGGCTGAGCTGACTTCTGCTTCTTTTTGTTTGGAGTTGGGGGGCCGGGCGGAGAGGGGTGGGGGGAGCCCGCCAGTGTCTCTCTCCCCTGTGCTTGCCTGCATCTGTCCCTCTGCCCCCCGCCCTCAACCCGCCACCCTGCTTCAGCCTTCCTTGGAAGATAGCCTGGCTGGTGAAGCACATTCAAGAAAGAAAAACATTCTTCCCTCCCCCACCCAACCCCCCAGCCTCCCTTTGTCCTTGTGAGCCACTCCCAACCGATAAGAGAGAAGTATGAGTTAGTGTTTCTTTTGTAAACAATTTCATATGCAATATAATACAGAAAGCATGGCTGACCTTCAATAAAAAAAATGTAGTAAACTATATTGCTTTATTCTTGATTATGCTGCAGTGAGTGAATGGCAGAATGAAGCAGTGTGGGTGGGTGGTGGTGGCTAAGTCCCTAGCCCTCGTTTGCACTAAAGATCAAAATAGGTTTTGTTTTTCTATTTGGAACAAAAAAAAAAAAAAAATTTTTTTTTTCCCCCAAAATCCCCAAATGAAAAAGAATCAAAGAAAAGAAAAAATCAAAAAAACCCAAGAAACAAATCCAAAACAAAACTGAAAACAAAAACTGAACACCTTTCAGGTCATTAGAACCAACAATTACCCAATGATTTTTATACTAGTCTAGCAAGATGTGTGTAACATTCATTGGCTGTGAACTGCTGTGCAGTGAAACATTAAATTGACAGCAATAGAGCCATGCTACCTTAAAGTCCAAGCTACGCGTTCAAATCAAGATGAAGGTTATGAAGGAGAGAAACGCAAAGGCCTGCTGGGACTTCGTTTGAATCAAGCCCATGAGCGACTGGGATAGAGTGAGGCTGTCTGGTTTTCCCAGTGGGTGTGAGGAAGGCCACAGACCAGGTGAGCAAGCTCCTGGAGAGGAGACCCAGAACTCGGTCATCCCCGTCAGCTCCACGTCCAGGGAGAACCAGGAATCGGTCCAGGAGCTTACGTGCCCACTCTCCTCCGAGTGGGAGGAGAGGAGTTTGGGGGCCCCAGGCAGATGGATCTAGAAGCCAGAAAGTCACCCGGTGGCTGCTTTGTGATCCCGGGGAAAAGCCATCAGCCAAGAGGGTTTCTCCCCCAGGGAAGGCGGAAGGTGGTTCCCATGTTCGCCACTGAGCTTAACTGAAACAAAGACAAGGCTGAACATCAGTGCTAAAATAATTTACAAAAATCTTTCAAAATGGACTTCTAGATGAGTGGGGGACTAACGTGAACCTTAACCTAGGTAGCCACATTAAAACATATCAGATTTCCACGAGATTTGTGCTATGGGCTACTGGGTCTCTTCAAAAGGTATTATAAACATCTAAAACATATTCACACAGATTATCAATTTCTTCTGAGCATTCTTAAAAAAATATTTTTTTCTCTTAGTAAAATCATTTTAATATACCATGCCTCCCTCTTTTAAAAAATAAATTAAAAAAATCCAGTTTTGCATATCTAGCATTAGCATTTAAGGTAGTATGGCACACCCCTTCACAGCTGGGGGGGGGGGTGGGGTGGGGTGGGAATCTACAAAACGCCGTAGAGTCTACCGGCATCTGAACATTGTGAGACCTTGGGTTAGTTGAAACCACATCAGATCAGCAAAAATAAAATGAAAACTTGAAATTGAAAAAAAAAAAATGAAAGGAAAAAACTGCCCCAAAATTATTAGCATTTTTTTTCATAAATAAGAGAAAGTTCTATCCTTACTGGTCCTAAATCTGAATAACTATGTCTAATTTTTTTAAACCTTAATTACGTTATACCTATCAATATGTACTAGAAGAAAGAGGAGAAAGAAAGTCACTACACTAGTACCAGGACAGCACGCTTACAAGATAGCCATTTTATACATTATTAACAGACAATGATCAACAAAGAGTCTTCTATGAGGTGATGGGGGATGCAGAGAAAGGAAGGGTAGTACAGTACATCACCAACATGGACAAAATAGTAATTAAATTCCCTAGTCTAGACACTGAATTTCTGGGAATTTATTGTCTCTTTTTTTTTCTTTTTTTTTTTTAAAATAAAACTTCTATTTTGTTATTTTATTACTTGAACAAGTTTTGATATTTTAAAAGCGCCCAGCATTTTACTTAACCTGGTTGTTTGGAAATAAAAAAAGGAAAGAAAGAAAAACAAACAAAAAAAAACAAACCTTCACCAAACAACCTAACATTTTATTGGAAAAAACAAAGGACATGATTTAAAAAAAAAAAAAGAAAGATGTTGCTGTTTAAATAGAATTGAAAAAGGCTTTTTTTTCTTTCTTTCTGAGTTAGCATTTTGGAGCCTTTTGCTTGAAGATGCTTTTACCCTACCATGTCTGTGAAGGTCTACATTGGTCTACTTTGTTAGTAAAATTTATAAAAATAGGAGCGCAGCAGGCAGCTCTTTATAATAAATGTCGCATTCAGTGTCTCATACTGGCTGTGCCTTAAGTACCAAATTTATAAACGTAGCAATTTAAAAAATATTAATAAAATGTCAATATCACATTTTAAAAAAAGAAAAAATATATATCCACACTACAATATGTTTTAATGCCATCTATTGAGTTGTACTTCTATAGTTGCTGTTGCCGACCTATTACCGATATTAAAAAAAAAAGTTAAATTAAAAAATATCCTTCATCATAAGTATCTTTCCCCAACCGAGGACCATATATTATAACAGCCAAATGTTAAAACATGTGCAAACAGGAAACGGTCAGTTTTTCCCACCAGTCACAGTGCAGCGATGTTTATACTTTTTATTTTTTAAAATTCTGTTTACATCTACAATAAATTAAAAAAAAAATTCTTTCATAGCCTCTCTGGTGATACTTGCAGCACTGAGGTATTAAAAAAAATATATAAACCAAAAGGTTGCTTTCCTAATTGGTAAATAGAAAGTGAATGGAGAAAAGATTTCATTAATGCAGGCTTATCCACTCCTGGCCCATGGGCCCCCAGGGCTGGGGGGCGGCTGGGGGGACAGGGGGAGAAGAGAGGCAAAGTGTCCTAGGGACCTTTGGAGGTGCTGAAATGATTGGACAATAGAAAATGATCAAATATTTAAAAATTAAGACTGAAAAAGAATGTCCCCCCACCCCTCCCCACCCAAGCCAAACAGGTGTGCTTTGAAACATTAAATATGTTAAATATTAAAATTGTAGCTTTGTTTTTAAAAAACGTCTTGGGAAAAGCAGTTTTTCATATTTTAAATAAAAATCTAACTAGACGGTAACGTTGGAAGCTGTGCACAGACGAGAGGTTAATATGCTGGTATGACACTAATACAGTTCTTAGGTCTATCACACAGACAAGAGGAGCTAAACAGTGTTCTAACCTGTCCCGGGGTCGGCCTGGCAGCTGGGTGTCCACCGCCTCAGTCACTGACTCAGTTACCGTCCCTCCCCTCCTGCACCTACACAGCGTCAAGCTGCCTGGGACCGACTCCCTCACAAAAATATTTTTGATTCTCTCTTTCTTAATAGTTTCTATGTAGTTAATGGAATTGTATTTACAACATTTCTTTTTTAGAATTCACAATTGCAAAAAACCTTATAATATCACCTCTTTCAACAGAAAAAAAGCACTTATAGAAAAGGAGGACACGCAAAACATTGTCGTCCTTACCTTATTGCCGAAAATAGATATACTTAGGTTAACAAAGAGACGCCACAAAAAAAGAACCGCTATAGAGTCTGTTCATTAGCCTACTACATCTCACTTCTTACACAACGCAGAGTAGAAAGTTGATGCCCACCTCCCGCTCAGCACCTCACAACCTCGCTTCTGTGTGTGCTCACATTCCGCCTGAAAATTCATACAGTCTCAGAATCGATACCAAAATATTCAGAGTAATATAACCATCTCAGCATCCTTGAAAAGTGAGAACAGAATTAAAGAAGCAAAAAAAATTGTTTTAAGAAAAAAATAATACCTTAATATAACAATTATACTATGGTTAGCTTTTAACTAGATATTAAAGCTATATGACTACTGGACTAAGTCAAAATCACTACCAAATGTGATTCAAAGAGATTTAAAAGGAGAAGGGGGAAGAGAGAAGAGGGAGGGAAACCATCAATAAAAACAAAAACAAAACAAAACCAAAATCATGGGATATATACACATTTAAAAGCTGTTGTCTTATATTACAGCAGATTCGTGAGATGATGAGATGTAGTCAACCCTCGATCCGAAGTGAGCCATCTCTGGTTGGGATGGGGAGTGAGGCTGGTGGGGGAACAGGTCTGATGACATCACCTAAACAAAGGGCCACTCAGAAACTTCGCCCAGTCTTGCCTGGACATCCAGGTATGCTCTGCAGGGCACGGGAGGTCGAGGATGTCCAGAAGAGAACATAAGGTGGGGTGGGAGGAGAAAGAAGAAATGTCAGGCAGGCACACGGCTTACTCTTAACTTTTTAGCTAGCATTTTCAAAGGATGACTACATTGGGCTACTGAGGATGTTTGAAAGTGGCCAGGCTAACAGCTGACTGGGGTCACAGCCTGAGCTGTGACATCTGAGCCAAGCTTGATGCTGGGGAGAAAGAGGGCAGCTCTGTAGCTCATTTTGCTGGCTTGCTAATTTGCTGATTCAATACATTATGGTAGAATTCTTGAGGCAATGGTGGAAAATGGGGTCAGCAGATGTGGTCACGCTGGGTTTGCAGCTGGAAGGGTGAACTGCAGAGGGACTAGCGCTGCCTTTTCTGGTTAAGAGTCTGTTTTCAAAGCTAAATGTTTAAAAATGTCTGTCTTGAGGAGACAACCGTCAATGACTGTCCATAACTAAAACTGCAAATTTCTACTTAAATCATATTACGTACAAAAGACTCAAGGTCAGGACACTTATAAAAACATACACAACTAATAATAATCAGCTTTGGTTCTAGGAAATGAGAACAGGCCCGGGATTCACAGACTTGCTGGTTGATTCTCCCCGAACTGACTGGGAGCCTGGGCCCCTCCTTCCACGGACGGTGCTAAAGGTCTGAGGGTCATCTCTGCTGGGCAGACTGTGTGTGTGTGTTCTGGGGCGGCCATGTGACTCAACTGGCCCACTTAATCATTCTGGAGGGGGCGAGTGGTTAGCCCTACTCTCCGGTCTGTTCCATCCTTCCAAGGCCTAAAGCTGGATGCGGGAGGCTGGGCTGCGAGCAGCCTCACCTCCCTCCACCTGCAGGGAAGCTCTGCAGAGGAGGGTGGGGGGCGCAGGCGGAGGGAGCCCTGCCCCGCCGGTTCTGGCAGGGAGGGAAGAGGCACTGGCAGCTGTCTGAGCCCCGTGTCATCTGACTCCACAAGGGCTGAGCCACCTTCAGCCTCTACGGTCTTGGGTCTATCAGCCCACCCTGCTCTCAGAGGATCCTCGCTTTGCTGGGACCCCTCAACCCAGTTGAATTAGTCGTGAGTAGCTCTCCTTCACACTGTTAGTGGCCTCTGGCTCCGGCAGGCCAGCAATGGCTGGGTCAGTGCTGGAAGGGAAGTGGAGGCGAGGGGGTGAAGAGAACTCACACAGGGGGTTTATTGGGTTAAGAGAGGCAGTTGCGTTAGTCGAGGTGATTCCTTAGAGCAATATTAGAGAAATCCAAGAGATGTACGAAGCTTGGCTCCACCTGGTCCCCCAGCTGGGCCCACCCTACTGGGTCCTGGCTGGCTCGGGGGCCTGGAGCAATCCTCGACAAGAGGGGTGTCCTGCTGACTGCAAACCAGAGTGGCAAATTCATCTCAGCCTTGCTTCTCCCAGAGGGACAGGTGCTCATGTCCCAGCTGGGATTTTGCAAGCAGGATCCATTCCCAGGCCTCAGCTGTGGCACTCTCACTTCCGAAGAAACAGACTCTTGTCTCAAGACCCAAAACCAGCTCGCTAACACGGGTCACGCTGAGCTTTCACGAGAGAATCCCCTCTCCCTTCCTGGTGCTGTTCCGGAGAATGAGGGATACCCATCTTCAATGAGAATACCGCAAGAGGCTCCCTCACTGACTGCCCCAACCTCCCCTCTCCTCCACTCCACCCCTTCCATATCCCCATCAAAGTGATTTAAAAAATGTTTAATTAACTTGAGCTCAGTTTAAAAGGTTAGGAAACTGGCAGGGATCCAAATCCATGTAACGCAGGTGATGTCGTTAATTTAATTTGCTTTTCGTGCGGTAATCTGGATAATTACTCAGTAGTTACTGGCAAAAATGTTTTCTTTTCACTCAAAGATGGAGCCTGGCTGTCTCACTGCATGAACCCCACTGGCCAAGCCCAGCGAACTCTGGGGAGCTGAGAGGGCCCGGCAACCCTGAGTACCCTCCGCCCCCAAGTCTGGCAGAGGTCTGGGGTCTCTCTGCCTCTGTCTCCCGGGGACGGGCATAGCACAGCATCTCCTTCCAGTTTCCCACACTTTTGATCATATTTCAAGACAGAGAAAGATGAGAGGTGGGAAAGATAGAGAAAAAGGATCGAAAGAATCAAAGAAAAAAAAAAGACAGTGGAAGAAAAATGGGGGTCATGATTTAAGCCAGAGGAGGGATGAGAGATTAAAAGGCTGGATCTTGTTGCCCCCACCCCCCCAGAAAGGGGTGGAGAAAGAGGAGGGAGAGACGTTGACGCGATGGGACCAGGGCCCGTGCGTACTTGCATGCCAAGTGTGCATACATGTACGGACACGCCTGGCGGGCGAGACACGTGGCAGAAAAGGCAATACCTCAGAGTGGGGTGGCAACGGAAGCACCTGCTCAGTGGTATCCATTTGTAAAGGCCGTTGCAATCAAAGGTCCCTAAAATTGCACAATTGTTAAGGTCATCAGCACGCTATACATGGGAACAGATTGTCATATTCTGGGAAAGGAAATTATCGCTAGGGCTAGACTGTGGTTGCCAGCATGAATATGTAATTCTGAGACACCATGCCGTGAGGCGCTAGGATGACATCCTCCCAAGCCCTGACTCCCCACCCTGGCCTGTCCACTCACCCAGGGGAACACTGCAAGCCAGATTCCCAGGGGTGGATGGATGAGAGGAGAGAGGGGCTTGTGCCACCAACGATGGGCACTGTTGCACTGAGCCCCAGACAGCCCCCGATGGCTCCAGCTGGGGAGAAGGCCAGTCCCGTGCAGACCAAATGTGACTTGATGTTGCTTATTTCAGAAACCATCACAGCACACAGGTCAGAGACCCAGGTTTTCATGAACATACAGGGTCAGTGTTTCTGGGTGCTGACCATGTCCGACGTAGTGGTAGACGATCCCTGAAATGGATTCAGCTCTAGGTTGACTAGTTACTGCTCTGGATTAGGTGTTATAGCCCATCCGAGGGGGTGTAACTCACCAAACTACTGCCTAAGTGATATTGGTTCTGGAGTGTAATTCAACAAGGAGCCGGACTGCACAGGCCAGGCAAGGCGTGTGTGTGTGTGTGTGTGTGTGTGTGTGTGTGTGGTGTGTGTGTGAATGTGTGTGTGTGTGTGTGTGTGTGTGGTGTGTGTGTGAATGTGTGAGATTGTGTGTGCGTGCATGTGTGTGGGTTGCGGGGGGCAACCTTTCAATGCCAGGGGTAGAGACTGGCTGCCCCGATGCCCTGATCGTCTGCACTTGCTTTGTTCTCCCCAGCACAGCCTGGTAGGGGGGTTCTCCCGCAGGGATGTGACCTGGGACAGCAGACACTTCCCTCTTAGCTCAAAATCAAACTGTCTCTAAGACGGCGAGGTTGGTCGATTTTCTGTTTCCCCAATAGAAGGGACAGTGAGCGAGTGGGCTCAGGCACATTCATGCTCACACACACCGCGAGGGGGAAGAACAACACAATCTGAAAACAGCATGCAAATCTGTTAAGCAAATTTCCATTGCCTGGATTAGTCAGATTATAGAACCACAGAGCATTACAAATGTCAAATGCACCTGGCCTTCGGGGGCGGGCGGAGCTAAAGAGTGCAAAGGGGAACTTACTTGGAGCCTGGAGACTGTAAGAAACATTAGCGGAGGAAACCTCGTGGGACGGGACTTGCACCCCAGGCTACGCCCCAGGCCCCAGTGCTGCCCCTGGACCCCAGGCAGGACTCAACTGACTCAGGCTGTCATCCTACCGGGATGGGGCCCTAGCTCCAAGGTCCCAGCCCCCCTGAATCTCTAGGAGGCCGGGATCAAGGAGAGAGGGGCTGACCGTGGGGGTCTACTGTGAGCCAGCAGCTGCCTTAGCCTGTTTCCTTAAAGTCTCACACACCAACTTTCGAGGGAGGGACACTTCTTTTTGTTTTGCAGCCAGGGATGCAATGGGTTGTACATGCAGTTCAGGGTTGTGTGACCTGAACATGACCTGCCCACACTCCCTCCACTCCACCTGTGGCCCGTGCACGGAGGCTCTGGAAACATCTAACGGGGGAAGCTGCAGCCGGGGGTGGTGGACGTGGGTGCGGTGGGGGACCCGGTGCCCGCTCCTGGCTTGCCGGCTCGGGGCTTCCCTGGCACAACCCCCCCCAACGGGCCGCAGGAAACGGGCAGGAAGGCAGGGGCGGGGAGGTACTTACGGCGATGCCGTGGCCGAAGCCGGAGCCCGGCTGAGGGCTGGCGGCGCTTATGTAATTCCCCACTCCGGAGTCCTGGCTGGCAGGGCCGTAGAGGTCGGCGACGGGTCCTGGGCTGTTGGCCCCCGGGAAGCCTCCGGGCCGCGCCGGGTTGGAGCCTGCCGGGGAAGCGGGCCCGCCAAAATTCGGTTGAGCACTGTAGCTATTCAGGACTGGTGTGCAGAGAATAGAGCTGGGTATGAGGCTGGAAGCCAGGCATGCACCGGTCACCACAAGCCAGACACTCGGGAGGAACAGCTGAGGCCCGACTTCTAACACTCAACCAAGGCCATGCGAAGACATCAGCAGGGACTCAAGAATACTCAGCCCAGGCTACTACTAAGAAGCTTGGAGCTCCAAAAAGAGATAGAATAAAAAAAACAACCATTCAACACAGTATGGCAACCAACCGGGGTGCTTCACTGCCCACCAAATTATCACAATAGAAATAGAGAGATATATGAAGAGAGAGAGAGAGTTGGTTTTTTTTTTTTTTTTTCCACATCTGAATTGATGCTCATGCAGTCTTGTCTAGATCTGGGCACGTTGAGACAGCATTCACATCCCATGCAAACTACAAAGGAACTAGTTTTAGACTACACATTGTGTTAATATTGATATTAAAATGTGACAGGAAACAAAGCAATTTGTGTCCAGGAAAAAAAAAAAATCTTTGGGGAAGGAATTTTTTGGTTTCATTTTTTTTCCTTGTTTTTGGATCCATTAAATGACAAATTTGTTTTAAACAACAAAAAAAGGCAAAAAAGATCTTCGGCTCGCCCCCCCCCCCCCCCCCCCACTGGCTACTCCCTCCCTCCCCACCCCTCCAGTTTACATCCTTGAATGAAAGTCGTCAATACTGAACGTGGTCGGAGGATGGGATATGTCATGGAAGACTTGGGCATCTTAACATAACTGTAATGATGGTGGCAGAGGGTTCCCTTTTGGGGTGGAGAGCAGGGGATGGAGGGAGGGATGGGGTGGGGATGGAGAATCTGGAGGCTCTGGGCCAAAGCTGGTGAACGCCAATGACGCTACCGGACAACCACACACTCACCTCCTGCAGTAGGAGGAAAGGGGGGATTTAAACTTTTTTTTTCCTTTTGTTTAAAAAAAAAAAGACAAAGAAGTATGAATTCAGAGCATACTGACTTGAACCAATTTATCACTAAAGCGTATCTGACCGAAAAGCCTGCGTTCTGTTGGTTATCTTCAGATAGACTCCAGACGGAAAGAAGAGTGGGGACTGGACCTTTGCCACAAGGAGACTTCCCACCCACATGTGCCTCGGGGAGTGGTGGTAGGGAGGGGGCAGGGTGAGGAGACGCTGCCCCAGGCCGCCCCCCCTTTACTCTCCCCAAGTCCTGTCGTTCCCGCCCCAGCGAGGACCACGGCTTGTCAACAGGTTACTGTCTCGTCTTCATTTCCCTTTAGTAGCTTAAATCTTTTATTTTCCATAACAGGAAAAAAACACTTTTTTTATACTGTGAAAGTAATTTCTCATTGACTTTCGAAGTTCAAGGTGAACCTGGGGCTGGCCAATCTGGACTACAACTTGTCCATCCTGAAGAACCACGCAAGACGGGTTCCACGCACTTCCACAAATCCCAGGGTGTGCTCCTCAAGACAGCCTTCTCCCTCCTGCTTCTCTCGGCATTTCCCTCTGCCCTGGGCCCACCTGCCCTCCGTGGCAGCAGGGAAAACAACTGCAAATCTTCTCTGGACCATGACCTTGCCCTGGGCACCTGTGGCTGGAACGCCTCACCTCTGGGGGGGGGATGTGTGTCGGGGGCAGGGCTTGAAGAGCCAAACCTGGACTGATTGCTACCAACTAGTCAACAACCGACGATGCACCCCAGCCAGGCTGGTGGGAGACTGAGACGGGATGCAAAGATGCCAAGGAGGACGATCCAAGCAGGCCCGGGCTCCCAACTCAGCAGAGAAAAGGCAAGCTGCTTCCTGGGAAGGCCATCTGGGGCAGGAGGCTTCAAGGTCAGGCCCCTAGGACGCTGTGCCAAGAAAGGAAGGAACTGGCTAAAGGAAAGCACAGGTTAAAGCGAGAGAGAAAAAAAAAATCCCAGAGGCTCAGAGCAAGTGAATGGCTGACTTGGGAGTACACTGGCAGACAGAGGGGACAGGGTTTTTGAATATAGGAGACTTAACTTGCAGATGACATTTGGCCCTTCTCACTCATGGAGGCAAGGATCAAGCTGAGATATCCAACAGACAGCATTATGTTGGGCTCACACACTTTCTTTTTCCAGGCCAGGAAAAGCAGAGAGCGCTCAGATACTGACTCCTGGTTCGCCCAGGCAGCTGACCCCGCTCCTGTACCAAGTAACCAAGACAGTAACTAGCCGGCTCTGTTTCAGGGTAACGAGTGGGAGGTGGGGCCACGGTGGAAGGCAAAGGCTTTCTGACCTCTTTCTCCTCTGGCTAGATGAGGATCCTGGAAGAAGGAGGGTGGGCACGCCCATCTAGAAGCCAAGGAGGAGAGAGGTTTCTACCTTGGCTCCTCCCAGCAGGGTGAGGACCACCCAGAGACTAACCCAGCCTGCGGAAGGAGCCTTGGGAGAGAGGAGGCTGCACGCTCACGGAAGGATGCTGTCTACAAACATGCCCCTCCGGAGGCTCAGAAGACGGGGGGCTGGGGGTATTCGGCCCACCTGTTACCCTCCCCATCCTGTGTGCCCAGGAGGCCTGCAGCTGGAGAGCTGGTCTGAAGGGAATCTCCCAGTGGGGGCTACATCGCCCCTCCCCGTCCTATCCTCTCCCATTCAATGACACCAGAATCACTGTGGAGAAGGCACTGTTACAACCCAGCTCTAAAACCAAGTCTCGCACAATTATACACTTGCCCCCTGCATGCCTGAGCCTCAGCTCCGTCAGCCTGCAGACACCCCCAGTCAGGGCTGAAAGACGGGGCCATGGCTCCCCACCTAGGATGCAGGTGGCAGGCCAGGAGCACCGGGTTCTGGGCTGGTCCTTTTGCTCTGGGCTTCGGGACAGTGGAACCTTCACCCTCAAGGGCTGAAGACTTAGAGGAGCCGGGTTTCTGGGTTCCTCAGTCAATGATTCCCTCTTTCTCTGTGGGCAGAGTATCCCAGCTCCAGAAAGCGGGTTAACAAGCCAACCTATGTCCTGAACCCATGCATCTCCGGGAGGGCACTCCCCAGCTCAGCAGTTTGAGAAGGAAAGGGGAAGGTGCTTCAGACACCAACATGCGCTGTCTGACAGCGGGAAGGCAAGAGGGACACGGTGATGTTTGGGGACGTTCAGCCTGCACACCGGCTGGCAACACAGTAAAGGAGGAGCCCCTCCCATCCAAGCTGTGACCTTGAGAGAAGAGGCAGGGAGGTGGGGGGCGGAGCATGACTCAAGCGCCTGACCTGAGGGTGCTTCCATGCTAGTTACCCTGAATCAGTTTTCAATGGGCGGTCTCCTTGCAGATCACCTCCAGGCTCATTTTAAGGGGCAGAAATGCTCCCAAAGCTAGGGTCAGGTCAGGAAGAGGGAATGGGACGTCCCTCAAGGCTGCTCAGCCTGGGTGTGTGTGTCTGTGTGCGTGTGGAGGCAGGGAGGAAGAGGTCTCAGTAGGTACTGCTGAATAAATAGTGCCGAGATTTAAAAAGGACGTTATGATTCCTGTCCCAGAGAGGACAGTGTCTTGCAAACACCCTGGCATTTTTGCAGCAGAAGCTGTGAGCATTAAGTGGCCTTGGGCAAGCTCTGCACCAAGCAGCAGAGTGGGAACTTGTGGTGGGGCAGCAAAGTCACTTCTCTACCAGCCGCTCTGGGCAGCGTCCACAGCAGCGGTTTAATCTGGGGCTGGCTCCTCTCCACGCCCGCCTTGTGCCCCAGGCGTCCTCTGGGCTTTCTGGGTCCAGGCACCAGTATGCCTCAGGGAGGCAGCTCTGGTGCAGAGAAAGGGAGCGCTGGACTTGGAGTCAGAAGACCCGAGTGTGACCCCAGCCCTGACCTCCAGCTACCTGCCTGGGATGGGGGGGGTCAGCGCCTCACCCACCAGAGTCCTCATCTATGACATGTGAGTCCTGCCCTACTCAGCCTGACTCTCAGTGGGCTGAGGCAAAAATGCAAAAGAGGAATGCTTGTAACTCATCATGTTTGGAACAAATACACCCGTTTTTGAAACAGTTGTGTATGCACAGACCAACCAGGTTTAGGAAAACCTGATATAGGAGAGCACAATTCACTGGTCAAACAAATCAGGAAGTGATTCACAAAAGGATCTGTTTCATCCACCCTGCATTTAATCACCTTGGACCTGATGAAAAGACTCTGGGGAATGGGGGGGATGGAAAAACAAGGACACTACCGCTCACTGAGGCCAGCAAGAGGAAACGCATCTGAATTTCAGTTGGTGGCATTTTGCATCGGATAAAAGGAGGCCCATCAAGGGAATATACCAGAGTCCTTCTCCAAGGTCTGTTCTGCAGGCTCAGACTCTCACCTGCAGGGGCAAGACCCAAAGCTCGGGAGCATCTGGAGGGTTTACGGCAAACCCTTCCTTCTGGTGGGTACGAGTCTGCATGTGGTTTTGCCCAACTGTGGTCAGAAGGAGCTGGGCTCAGAGTGGGATTTGTCACTGAGGGTGGGGAAGTTGTGGGAGAGGGCAGTGAGGATTAGGAGATCAGGAGAGCCACACTGTAGGTCCAGGAAAGGTTGGAAGCCTGGGTGCTTCTGTATGCTCCCAATGTGATGCTGCTGGACCTAGGGCAGAAGGCCTGGGCCTCGGAGGCAGGCAACCCTGGGAGGGCATCTCTGGCTCTAAGGCCTGAAGAGTGGATTATTATTGATTCAGAGAAAGGGACTGTTAACAGAACTGTTGCTATATCTGAGATAAGCCAGGGTCCACCAAGTCCCAGCCTCAGACCGGGGTCCTGGTTTGGTGGGTCTCACCTTTCACAGAAAGGCAGAGCCAGCCCTCAGGACAATTTCAGTCTCCCACTTGCGAATCTCGGGAGGGGGCCTCGTGGCCCCCCGCTGGGACGGTGTGTGCTACTCAGGACAAGGCAGGTGCCGTGGTAGGCCCGCCTGCACCCAGCCCAACTCAGAAGGCAACCTGCTGCCCAGCAGACCTCCCTGCGCCTGCATGAGGCGCGAGGGCAGGGAGGCTGGGCTGGTGGGTGTCACCAGCCGCTCCCAGCCCCAA